ATGTATGGAAGGAAAACAATCCTTGTCCTCCCAGACCACCACACCAGGAAAACAAAAATACAAGAAATATTCCACATTTAATCAGTTTCAGGTTGATTTTTCTTTAGATTCCTAATATTTTTATCTTTGTTTGATTTGATTTACTGCGTACAGGATATCTATTCAAACCATCTAGTCTAGTGTACACCATATAATTTTAAAACTATTTTGTCTATTCTGTCAAGGTTTTGGTAATTCACTTTTTTTCCCTTCCTCTTTTCCCTCTTTCATGGGGGCCCTTGTTAAGGAATTGGATCCTCTCGGAGGTAACCCCTCAGTATCTTCTTGATCGATGTTAGTGGGTCGCTACAAACAGATAAATTTTTTAAAAATTATAATAATTATAACCGTTAAATAAAAATTCAATAATTCACTATCCTCGATCAAGAGGATCCAATTCCCTTGTTAAATTGGTAGGTACCGTTCATTTAGTCAGAGATGTCAAATGAAACTGAAGAAGCTTACTATTTTCTAGGGTTAGTCTACGGCCGGAGACTTTTTAACAGAAAAAGCATTGGTATTTTTCAATCTGATGATGTTTTCATAGTATACATGTATAATTACCTTTAAGTATAACATCTTAACATGATGGTGTAACATGTAAATCTAAGTTATTTATTATAATTTTAAAGGAAAATTAATGAAAAAAACTTGAAAACTTTGAGGTTTAACGATAAAGACAAAATAAAGGGTAAAATAAATAGTACCAGGATTGACATTTTTGTGTAAAAATTTGGTTTTTCATTAAAGTAAACGATACACGAAGCTTTTCGTTAAAGTTCTATAATTTTAATGGGTTATTTCTAAAACGTCCATGAATAATAATTTAGCCTTATATTATAATCTAAGATATAATAATTAACGTTAGTAGTATAATAAACAAAATCGTTTTATAATACCTCACCATAATCTTGCAACATTTGGACAATAAACAAAATCGTTTTTGCTGAACATACCAGAACATCTCCCTATTTTTTATTTGACCAAAACAGAAGAAGAAGCTTAATCATTCGGATAATGAGTGCGAGCTTAAGAATGATAAGAAATCTACCAACTATGACCATATAATCACCCCTTTGCGTCATATGACTCGTATCTGTCATTGGTTAATTGAGATTGGAAGATTTTTCTGATTCAAAAAGTCCAACAAGTCTCACCAACTCGTTAACTAAGACACAAAAAAATCTACCAATAACGTGCTTTCATGGTGAAGTTGAGATTAATCATGTCATTGAAGATACTCGAGCTCTCTAGATTATGACCTGCTAATTATTCTCTGTAAACAAAATTAAGAGCACACACGTATAAACATTGCAAAGGAAATACAGATTAATAAACAGATATACGATATATATATATATATATATATAATACACAACAAATAATGAAATGGAGACAATGTGTTCTTCAAGGATTGGAGCTCTTCTGTCTTTCTGCTGTGTCCAGACTCCAGAGGAGCGGAAGGAGTGAAGCTCCGTAGGAATACATGGATGTACCGACTGGAGGGAGAAAAATGGAACCTAAATCAATTACGTACATGTAGAGGCTAGAGGCCTAAAGAGAGAGATTTATGGAAGAGACATTCGGACTGTCCCACTAGCTTTACCAGCTTTATTTTTTAGCTGCAGCAAACTCAACTTTTCTTCATGCCAAATAATTACTGATTAGATGCTATGACTCTGACTAATAATTAAATGAGATGGAGTGAGAGATTTTATATACATATACTGCTTAGGAAAAAGATTTTGTCAGTTATTTTTAACTCGACCAAATCCAAGAAAGCTGAAAAAGCTCTCTCAACCCCTAGTTTGGGTAAATTTTAATTGTTACTTTTGTAGGAATATTTTTTTTTCTAAATATAACACATTTAGAGTGAATAATTAAATTTTATGGTACCAATAACAGTTTTTTATAACTTCCTTTCATTTGTGTAAAAAAAAAAAAAAAAAAACAGCAGTATTTTTTTTAAAACAAATAATAATATTTATATTAAAGGAAAGAGAAAATAACCTAAGTCTTACGATGAACTTGTCAATATTAATGTGATTCAATTTTTCCATTAACAAGAATCAAACTTAAAGTAAAAAATTATTCTATTAGACTGCATTTTCTTAATATCAAAAGAGGAATGTGTTTTCTTTAATAGTTTTTTTTTTTTTTTTGTCAAGGACATTTTACAACATGACAATAAGTGTCAAGTTGATTCAACGTCTGACAAAAAAACGTAATGTTAGATTATGGAAATATATCATTTCCGGATCTCTTCCACCAAAGTCACCGGATTAAGTGATTCAGACCGTCCAAATTTCATATAACGGTGAAAAACTATCACAACTTTTAAAGGGTCAAAACAGGTGGGTCATTGGATGAAATTTAGAAGACCCGGATCATTTGATCCGGTGACCATGATGGAAGAGATTCAAAGAGAATCTCTTTCCTTATATTATAATGGTAAGAATTTATTGTATAGTTAAACAATGATGAATAGGTTGCAAGTGTTAGATTGTCATATTGGATAAGCATTCCTCTTCAACTCAATCTAGGTTTGACAAAAGGGTTCATGATAGGTCGGGTCATTTTAAGAAAAAAAAAATCTAAATTTGTGCATACCACATTGCCACATAAATATTACTTTGAAAATTAATTCGAAACTAAAAACCTCAATTGAAGAAACGAAACCAATCTTAATTCCAAAACTAATTTGAAGTAAAACTCTATATTTTGAAGGTAATTCGAAATATCAACAATTACCTTCATTAGGGCTCGAGATTCGCTCGATCCAAAAAGATAATCAAAGATAAAAGTAGTAAATCGATTGGAGGTGGGTTACTAGGTCATTTGTGGTGACAGTGGTGTGATGTGGTGGAGGGATTGGAGAGGGTGGTCGTGGTGGTTGGTAGGAGTGGAGGTTCGAGACTGAGATTCAAGCGTTCAATTCGAGAGAAATAGAGAGCAGCTGCTTCGACTCGAGCCTTCAAGAATGAGAGAGAGCCTCATCTGGGGTTGAGAAAAACATTGGACAACCAAGATTAAATCTTAGCTAATCAAATGGGCATCAATTTTCTAAATTTTAGTTAAATAAATAAATATATATATTTATATTTTAACTTCAGTTCAGTACAAGATTAAATTTTACTGTTTTTAATTACAGTATTTCTTTTAGTGGTATAAAATTAATATTTTTCTTATCATGTAACGGATTACCCATGTGTATACCTGGATCGACCTGTTATCTTAACATATGCTTATCGAGTTACCCAATTCGTTATCGTGTTGATCCAAAAACTTCTTAATTTTATGTCATGTTGTGTCGAATTAAAAAATCATGTCAGAAGTTGCCAGACCTAATCCAATGTATCTCGAGTTAATACTATCTTTTCACTTAATGTCACTTAAAATAGTAATATTACTTGGAATAGAAAAAATAATGATGACAAAGGTTTCATAAAACAAGATGACGTATATTATAGACCAACTTTGTTTATTACATTGTGAACATCTTAAATGTAAGCTATTATGTATAGACGTAATCGCGTTAGATAGTTACTATTCAAATAAAATAGAGAAAAGTTTAATAAAATAGTAATGTCAATCTACAAAAATTTTACCATGTGAATGTAATGCATGAGCAAGCATTTGTTCATTAATTATAGTTGATGGTTAATTATTTATATCAAGTCAATCCATTTCAACTTGTGATTGAGTGGTGCAATGAGAAATGACTTTTGTATAAAGAAGTGTCAAGGAGAAAAGAAAATGGCATCACCAACACATTCTAGACGCATATGAGTGTCCGATAGGGCATGAGATCGGTACTTTGGTGGGTGACAAGCACATGACAAACTAAATTGAATTAGGAAAGGGATCCGCTCTTCCACCGATCATTCTTATTAAACAATTTGAGTTTTTGATATTTAATCAAACGGCTGAAAATATAGATTTACTTTAAAAATTATAATAATTTTAGTCGTTCAATCAAATTTTAAGAATTCAAATTATTTGATAAGAATGATTAGGTGAAAAGGATCACAAAACATCCCTTTCCATTGAATTAAAACGGATTTAGATCCTCTCTTGAGCCAATGGAGAGGATCCTCCTGACCAAGTATTGTGGATCGTTAGATTTTCATCAAACGGTTATAATTATTATAACTTTAAAATGACTCTTTATTTGTAACCGTTGGATAAAAATTGAACGGTCCATAATGTTTGGTCAGGAAGATTCTATCTATTGGATGAGGAGATGATCCAAATCCAATTAAAACAATATATTGTGCATGATAAGACTAATATTCTTTATTTATTATTTTAATTTTAATTTGATCATGATTAAGATTGTGATGGATAATGGTGTTGGCGTTGAGGAACAAGGATTGCATGCCCTTTACTTTTGATGTTTTTTTCGTATTTTTTTATTTTGTGTGATCATGGTTAAATCATCTTAATATTTTATATTATTTTTTTATAGATATAATAAGATAAAATGAATAATAATATAAAATATTAACGTGATTTAACCGTGATCATATAAACAAAAGAGCACAGAGAAGATATCGAAAATGGAGGGCAGACAATCTTGTCCGGCGTTGAGCCGTAGGGGATGAGAACAACGAGCTGAAGTGCGAATATTAAATGAGTGGACAGATTGCAATCAAGCTCCAGTAGCAATCAAGAAAAAAAGTAGCAAAAGGTACAGTAGACAGAGAAAGCTAGACCTAGTAGTGATTCCAATTTCCCGTCCATAATTCTATTTTTGTGGTAATATTATCATCCGTGTGGGTTCGTACATATATATACACACACACAGACTATTAGCCATTAGGTGTCCCGTTTGGCTCTTCCCTCGATTTGATCGATCGTTGGGTCTCTCTATCTCTCATAATTCTTTGCCAGTAATGGCAGGGCATCAGTGGCGGTGCAAGAAAAGAGGGTGAGAGTTTTCATCGGGAAGGTAAAGCTTTGCATCACACGACACACAGTGTGACAGAGTGAAGTTCTCCCCCCTTCACTCACTCACCCTCCCCTCCTCTCTCTCTCTCTCTCTCTACATTATTTTTAATAATTATTATAAGGAGTATTATTATTATTATTCAGATTCACACAATATCATCAATAACCACGAGTTTTGTTTACCCTACAAAGAAAAATAACCAGCTGAGTCTTTGTGCACCACCACCGCCCTTCCTTTTCTTCCTGCTGCTAGCCCTACACACGGAGAGAGAGAGGCCCTTCCGAGAGAGAGAGAGGGACAGAGAGTACTGTATCTTTTCTGTATGTGTGAGAGGATATAATGCATGTCTGGAGAAAGAGAGAGATAAAACAAGAATTTTGCAAGGGAAATCTGAGGCAGGGTTTTGGCAGACCCAGTAATTGGAGAAAAAAACACTTAACATTATAAACTACTGACCCACTACACTCCTCCACTATCACTCTCACTCTCACTCACTACTTAGGATTTTCCTGTTAAAGCCTGCTCAAAGTATCGTAGCATAAAACCCGGGAGAGCCCTCGCTTCCGTTGGAGGAGAGAGATCGATCAGGATTAGATCCACACACATATTTATATGTATAACATTATTACGTAGGAGAGAGAAAAAAAAAAGAAAAACCTTAACCTAGGGAGAGAAGTGATTTGTAGCAAAGCCAAGTGAACAAAACAAAACAACGAGTAAAAGAGGACTAGGTAAGAAAGTTAATTTGTGAAGGATAAGATATACCAAGAGATCTAGAGAGAGAGAGAGAGAGAGAGAGAGAGAGAATGGAAGGTGGTGGTGCCAATGGCACCTGTAGTATGATGGCCTTTGGAGAAAACAGCAGTAATGGAGGAGGAATGTGTCCAAGGATGATGATGCCTCTAATGACTTCCTCACATCATGCTCATCACTCTCATCATCACCTTCATCAACATCATATGAATCTTAATCCTAATGCAGACACGCATGATACTAGTACGACTCATCAGTTTCGCCAGCTTCCCCAGCTTCCCCAGCTGCCTCCGTCCAACAACCATCACGACCACCAAAACCCCCATAACACTAGTGGCGGCTCCTCCTTCCTTCTCCACAACCCAGCTGCAGCTGCCGCCTCCTATTTCATGGACAACAACAACAATGATGGTGTTGGCGGCAGCTCTTCTTCTTCGCCTTCAACTGTCAAGGCTAAGATCATGGCTCATCCTCACTATCACCGTCTCTTGGCCTCCTATATCAACTGTCAAAAGGTGAAATTGAAACCATCTAATTAAAATAATCAAAATATACATATATATGTGTATATATTTTGACCTCCCAATTAGGTTTTCAATTCCTACAAACGTAGGAGTTAGGACCACAACTCTCCATTCTTTGTCCTTCTCTTTATTTGTGTGTTAGATAAAAAGGGAAAATTTAGTTGACATGCGCCTGAAAGGGATAGATAATTCATGTTTCCCGCCTCGTTTCTTTGGGAAGTTTGGATCTGAATATCTCAACATTCATGTTCTCATTGTAATTATGAAGGTTTGTCATAAAGTAATGTGGACGGCGATATCAGTTCCGTAGGTAGGACGATGTAGGACTCAGAACGCCCATCCTCATGGAAAGATTTGGTATTATGAAGTTGTTCATCCAGTACTGCTACTACCATGTCGTTCTTGTCATGCTTTATTGAGTTAATTATGTTTAACAAGGAAGTTTAAGTAATTATGTTGTTGATAAAGACGGTCCAAGTCTCTTCGACTTTTTGAGTTTTGATCTTTTTAAAATATATATTTGGGTTCAATAGAAGAGGTCCTTTTCATCATCATCAGTTGAAAGTGTTTGAATAATACTATTCAATTGAAAACAATTATGTGCAGGTTGGTGCGCCGCCTGAAGTGGTGGCGAGACTGGAAGAAGCGTGCGCATCGGCGGCGACTGTAGGTCAAATGGTGAGTAGTAGTAGTGAATCAGGATCTCTCGGTGAAGATCCAGCTCTGGATCAGTTCATGGAGGCCTATTGCGAGATGCTTACCAAGTATGAGCAAGAAATCTCTAAACCCTTCAAGGAAGCCATGATCTTCCTCCAAAGAATCGAGTCCCAATTCAAAGCGCTCACTCTTTCTTGTTCTTCTGATTCTGCAGGTTCGTATCTCACCATTATCTCTGTGTGTGTATGTATATACATCTGTATCTTCACCGTTTCTTTTTCTCTAACTTTTTGTATGTATAGGAAGATCTTTTGAGTATTTTCTTTATTTTTTATTATCTGAAATTTTTAATGCAATATAATAACTAGCCATGCATGGATGTCGTTTCCAAGATCCTGTAGGTTTATTTTATTAATTAACAATTATGTTCAGAAAGCGGGTGGCCAATTAGTTTTCTTTGTTCTTATTTTTCGAACTCTTCCATTTTATCGCTTAATTGGTTCCTTCTCTGATTTGTTTAATCATGTATCTGCTGTTCTTTGGCATGTATAGAACTGTTTTTAGTACTGGGTAGTAGCAAGCTAGGTTTCCACTCGCAAGTCAATTTTTTCAAATATTAGTATTATAAAAGAGAAGAAAAGAGTTCGAAACTATTACAATAATTTAAGAGAGGGAGTGTTTCGAATCTGGGACGTATAGGTAGAAACTCAAGACCACATGCAAAATATACAAGTCGATGGTGTTGCATAGAATTATATGGCTTTGTTTCTCTTCTTGGTGTCTGTTTTGAATGAGATTGTTTGGTTTCTTTTGAATTCTTCACCTTGTTTTACCTAGTTGAATTTGACGTGCTGCTTGCGTCTTTAGAAATATAAGACAAATGGGTTAGCTTGCGTTTTCCCCCATGTCTTGCCTATACATAGCAATGCTCAAAGTAATTTCTGTTTCATAATTATTAGCGTTTTTTTACACCCTAGTGACCAATTTGTGTGGACAAGATAATATTTGTAATTACTTTTACACTCTTGGAATATTAGTTAAATAATTAGTTATATTAGTTTTTGTATGGTAGTCTGCCTTGTTCTATGGTTATTTCGATATATAGACCTGAGCTCTAGAAATCGTTGATGTTTTTACGTCTTTCGTAATTATTGTACATTATGAGCTTTAGATACAATATTTTCTGCACATGCCTAGTTTTTTGTAACACGAGTCTTCATGTAAGGACTAGCAATAGCTATAAGTTGATAATGTGGTATCCTGGATTTTTAGTTAGTTCTCAAACCCTACGTGCTGTAGTGGACTCCTGGTGTCCTAATACTATGATACCAAAAGAACTGAGTTGGTGGTGGGTCTAATTCATAAAAACCAATACAGGTCCTCAAAAGGGATGAGCTAGAAATTGGCTATTTGGTTCCTTGAATTTTAACAATATGCTGGACCCAAAGTAATCAGGTTTTCTGAACCTTAATTTGTTTAGCCAGCATATCCTTAATTAAGGTTTTGAATATGGTGGACTTTGAAGTATTTGAGTTCTCTTCGCTATTTTATTATCATTTTCAAATTGTAAAAGACTGATTAATGTGGGTATGCTTCTTAATAATTATTAGCACGAGCAACATTTTTGGATTTAAATCATTTATTGTTGTCCAACTGCATAAACTTTGTTCTGATTGCACTAATATTTAGTGTGTTTCAATATACCAACTAATGCTGTAAGTCAAGAAGGCAGCTGAGGTAACCAACTTTAACTAATCATCGTCAAGCAGCTGTGCGTGCGACTTAATCCTTAATGTTGTTAACCTTGCTTGCTTGAGTGAAAATTATTCTGTTGCTTGACAAAATATTGAACTAATCTTGAATTTAGCTATATATCAATCCTTTACTTGATGGCGGCCTAGCTGTTCACAGTTACTTAGCGATATGTTAATTTTTTTTTTATCTGGATTCTGGACAAGAATTCCTTGTAACTTAGGAGACAGCACACACTCACACACAATTTATTTAGAATGCAATGATAAGTAGCAATTGCATTTCGAAGTAGGAATAAGATAGCTAGATCCATGCCTATATGTTTTGCATAGAGTTGTCTTGCATGGCTTGGTGATATATTTGATGTTGGGAGTGAAAAAAGAATGTCTGGGTCTAAAAAGTGCCCCTATGTCTCAAAAGAATGACACTATTTACATGAGACACTTTTTGCCTGTACAAGAACAAAGAAAGTACTTCCATTCTGATGGCTGAATATATATTCCTCAAGATCAGGGATATAATTCTACAAAAATCTTAGCAAAAAGATAAAGGTGAAAGGAAATAGAGATATAGTTTGAATATTGTGTCTTTACTACGTTTAATGCAGAAATGTTTTACAGCAGCAATGTATGTTTTGAGTAATATATATGCATAATGAGCATACAATGATAGATCCTATGGCAATGAGTTCTATTTGACACCCAGCTGGAACTTTTGACCTTTCAATAGTTGAGTTGCTTTATTTTTTTTGCCTCGTAAGTGTAAGTGGCCAGTGATCACAGAGATCATGTTCGTTTTGATTGATAAAGAGAGACCTGCAGGAAGATGCCCTAAAACATGTAAAGAAATTTATTATTCAGTTTTACTTGTGATTAGAGCTGCAACTAAGATAAAGAAAGCCTGTTTAATTTATTGTTGATGTATTTTAATTATGTGTTTTAAGTTTTTATGCCATTAGGTTATGGCGATGGAATTGATAGGAACCATGTATCATCTGAGGAAGAGGTTGATGTTAATAACAACTTCATAGATCCCCAAGCGGAAGACAGGGAGCTTAAAGGGCAGCTATTGCGCAAGTACAGTGGATATTTGGGTAGTTTGAAGCAGGAGTTCATGAAGAAACGGAAGAAAGGGAAGCTGCCTAAAGAAGCCAGGCAACAGTTGCTAGATTGGTGGAGTCGACATTACAAATGGCCTTATCCATCGGTATAATGTCATACATTTTTCTTTCTATACATCGGAATACATATGCACGCATTTTCTCATCGAGAATTAGGTTAATTATCTTCATACACATGGTCAATGCAGGAATCACAGAAACTAGCTCTTGCAGAATCAACAGGGCTGGACCAGAAGCAGATAAACAACTGGTTCATCAACCAAAGGAAGCGACATTGGAAGCCGTCAGAGGATATGCAGTTTGTGGTGATGGATGCTAGCCACCAAGGCCACTATTACATGGACAGTGTCATGGGAAATCCATTTCCCATGGATATCTCTCCCACATTGCTCTGAATTAAGATGACAAGCAATTAGTATGCTGCTAATTATATATATTTAAATGTGTTATTGAGGAATGCCGATGCATTTCCTAACAACTAACTATTAATTCCTTTTGACTATGGATTGTGATTAATGTCACACAATCATGCATGTGTACGTACGTGCTACTATGTATGTCGTATAAAATCTCACTTAATTTAATGAGTAAATTGTAGCAATGATCTTTCAATTTTAATGGAGTAATGGTTCATAAACTAAAAATCCATTTTCATTGGTCCCTTAACTCATCAAAATGTGTAGTTATGGTTAATTTTTGTCAACTTCGTTAAAATTTTGTCAAAATAAGTTATGTTGGAAGGATCATGATATTATTATAATTGAGGTCCCTCAACTCATCAAAACATGTAGCTATGGTCATTTTTGTTAATTTTGTCGGAATTTTGTCAAAATGAGATATGTTGGAATGATATTGCTACAATTTGGTTAAGGATGATGGATCATTTTTTCAGTTGAATTAAAGTTGAGGGACCAATGGTAATGAATTTTTAGTTGACAGACCATTATTCCAATTGAGTTAAAGTTAAGAGACTATTGTTACAATTTACTCTAATTTAATTGTTAACCAATATAAATAGTGGGTTCTTATCTTCTCAATGTGCTGTTATTGAAATAGTAAAGATATATATTCTTAATGTGCTGTAGTGGAGGTAGTGTATTGTTCGTCTACAATTCAAAATGAGTCAATATTCGGTTGCTCTTCGTAATTGCACGCCCTTCACGATCCATGTGCGCAGGGTTACCCGCTGGGCCTTGATTGGTCAACAATGCTACTCCGAGCAGCGACACGACCACCTTTACCTCATGTTTTAAACACATGGCTTGATTGGTGATTGAGTATGTCGACTTCTAAAGCTTTGTTCCATAAAGTTGTCAGTCTTCTCACGTATCATTGACGGTCGGAAAGTATTTTATATTGCTTAGTTGGATCAAGTTGGTGAGTTGTCGGGTCTAGCACTAACGCCAACAACAACAACAACAACAAAGCCTTTTCCCACTAAGTGGGGTCGGCTATATGAATCCTAGAACGCCATTGCGCTCGGTTTTGTGTCATGTCCTCCGTTAGATCCAAGTACTCTAAGCCTTTTCTTAGAGTCTCTTCCAAAGTTTTCCTAGGTCTTCCTCTACCCCTTCGGCCCTGAACCTCTGTCCCGTAGTCACATCTTCGAACCGGAGCGTCAGTCGGCCTTCTTTGTACATGTCCAAATCACCGGAACCGATTTTCTCTCATCTTTCCTTCAATTTCGGCTACTCCTACTTTACCTCGGATATCCTCATTCTCAATCTTATCCTTTCTCGTGTGCCCACACATCCCACGAAGCATCCTCATCTCTGCTACACCCATTTTGTGTACGTGTTGATGTTTCACCGCCCAACATTCTGTGCCATACAACATCGCTGGCCTTATTGCCGTCTTATAAAATTTTCCCTTGAGCTTCAGTGGCCTACGACGGTCACACAACAATGCTGGATGCACTCTTACACTTCATCCATCCAGCTCGTATTCTATGGTTGAGATCTCCATCTAATTCTCCGTTCTCTTGTAAGATAGATCCTAGGTAGCGAAAACGGTCGCTTTTTGTGATCTTCGCTAAATTGCTCCGGTCATTAGTGTGGATAAGTATATAAATGGATAGAGATAGGAAAGCAAACACAAGATGTACGTGGTTCACCCAGATTGGCTACGTCCACGGAATAGAAGAGTTCTCATTAATTGTGAAGGGTTTACACAAGTACATAGGTTCAAGCTCTCATTTAGTGAGTACAAGTGAATGATTTAGTACAAATGACATTAGAGTACAAATGACATTAGGAAATATTGTGGGAGAATGATCTCGTAATCACGAAACTTCTAAGTATCGGAGTGTGGTATCATCTTGACTTGCCTTATCTGTCTCATAGGTAGATGTGGCAGCTTCTCTGGAGTATTTCCTTAGGAATCAATATTGTACTTGGAGGCTTGGTCTACGTAAGTAGAGTCCCGTCGCCGAACTTCTAGGGTGAAGACAAGTAAGTCAGAGCTCATCTTGACACGCCTAAGGATAAAGAGAAGAAAAATGAGAAGAATGATATGGGGATCTTGTTTTCGAGGTATCTTTGGCAGCTTCTCTGAAAAGAGCTTCTTTTTCGGTTACGGGTGATCTTAAACCGGAAGATTTGGTTCAAATTTACAAGGCTCCATCAAAAGCACGTCATAACCCGGTAGGCTGGAGTACTTTTGCCAGTAGTGCTGAGGATCGGCACGGGTGTCGCTTTACGATTGCTGAAATATGCTTCTGGCAGCCATATTCTGCCTCAAGCTCGAGTGCGGGGTCCCTGTCCATCGTGTGGCGCGCGTGAAATAGAAGAGATGAAAAAGAGAGAAGAGAGAGCTTTTGCTTTTGAGAGTTATCAACTTTCGGGTTCCGTTTATTCTTTTAATGGAGTGAGAGCTTCTTCTTCAAGTTTGTAGATTGATGTTGCTCTCTTTGTCTTCTTCACCCTTGCCAGTACAGCACGGAGGATGGAATCCACACCAGTGGACGCTGTTCCAAATATATCCAGCAGTCCTTTCTTTACCTTTGTTCCAGTCAATAATATGGTATCCATTAGGACCCTACAATAATTTATATGAGTTCTGAAAGCTTTGTTAGTGTATTAATCAAAGCTTTCTTTCGAGTTCGATTGGTTCTTGGTTTTTGGGATTGATTTCTTGCTGCTTGGTGATTTTGTCTCTTTCTCCTGGAATGTTTTGCGTTGGGAGTGGGATGTTAAGGAGACAGCTTGAAAACATATAATTATTGTCTTGGTAACCCTTTGAATGCTAATTCTTGCTCTGTGGGTAACTGTTGTGTATTTTGGAAAGCAGTAGATTTTCATTTCTTGGTGATGTTCTTTACTTGAGCATCGATGGGAGTCTCTGAGCAGAGCATTTTTCAGGATCGCCTTGTTGCGTTGATGGAGGCTAGAACGAGGTGCCGCTCAAGAGTAATTCTGAGATCCCCTGTGGTCTCTAGGCCGCTTTTGAGAAGTGCGAGGCCTCTTCGACTTGATTCGGAAACATGCCTCCTTCGATTTTCAGAAAGCAATCATGTATGTTGGGATCTGGCTCGAGATTTCGAGACAGGTTCTCTTCATTTTGGAATAGTAATCATGCTTGGAGTTTGGGCTCTCAGAGATTCGGAGGCTGGTGACTCTTCGATTGGTTGGAGCAATACTTGTTGGGAGTTTTTCTCGAAATATGAGTAAAGTTGGCATTTTGGGAGTCTACCTCTGCCAGAAGCAAGAGGGATCATGCAGACTTCCAATTACTCCAGCAATTGGTATTGTTCTTTACCCTTCTCGATTTTGAGAAGTATCATGTTTGGAGTTGACTGGCTTCTCGAGTTCGGAGGACGGTGGCTCTTCGATTTTGGAGAAGCAATCTTATAAAGGAGTGTTTTCTTCGAATTGAGTAAGGTTGGGCATTTTGCTAGTCTACCTTGCCACGGGCACAGAGGTGACACACAGGACTTTCCAATTATCCAACAGTGGTACTGTTCCTTACCCTGTGGGTAATAATATGCTAGACCTTCTTTATGGGTCTAAACTTTGTAGTGCTGTTTCTTTGCATTCTTTACCCTTGGTCAGAGCGATGTAGTGGGAGCTGTAAGCTTCACGTGCTCACTTTGGCAGAGAACTTTGGCAAAGTTATATGTGGTACCCATGGCTATTGCTGCGTGTGGGTGGGTGATTGGACAGTAAGATTCATGTGTTTTCACTTCCCAGAAGTCTTCGAGATACCCATAATTTCGCAAGCTGAGTGTGCGTGTGACAGGTGCTGACAAGGCTGGAAAGTAGGTGCCTCTTTCGATTCTAAGATCGGCCCTCGTGGTCTCTGAGGAGCCCCAGCTTTTGAGGAAGCGACGCAGATTCTGAGGGCGGCTTTGATGAGAATTCTTGAGCGTGGGTTGCTTGAGAAAGCAAACACCGAAGCAGGCGCCAATTTATGAGTCATTACCTTTTTGAATTCTCCAAGCTCTAGCACCTTAGCATGGACCTCTTCTCTCTTCAATACCATTCTTGAAACCGTTGTTTGACTTGAACCTTGTTGAATTCTCAGACAACATATGCTACTCCTCACTGGTCCTCTTACCGTGGGGATCCGTGTGTGATAGAATGATATGACGCTGCGGTGTGGCATGAACCTTCTCACTCCCAAGAAACAGACTAATTTCCAAACGGTCTGATTGAGTTAGCTGTTATATTTCACTGGCTTCAGTGGTTCAGTGTGCAGGTTCGGTCTAATATGGCCCAACCTATTTGCATCGAACCCCCAAGGTTGAATCATTTGGCGGCCGAGTGTGATTAGTTCTCAAACAGGAGATTAGAGGGCTCAAGCATGAGAATAAACAGTTGCACCGGCTCGCACATGACTATGCTACAACATGAAGAGAAGCCTGACCAGATGAAGGAAACTGATGGTCAGGTTTTACTTGATCATCAGATTTGTGGGTTGTTCCAAAAGCATTTATTGCTTCGTCTTCTGGGGTAACCGCGTAATGAAGCTCCAAATGATCAACCTCTGATGCCTCCTCCTTCTAGGGTTCTGTCCAGTACTGAGGCTCCGAATGATCCCCCTCCGATGCCTTCTCTTCTGGGGCTCTACCGACTGCTGAGACTTCTCCTAAGCAACCTTTGTGAAGGCTCCATCTTGTTTGTTTATTTTGACTCATGTATATGTACATATTTGTAGCTTATCAGGGATATCAATAAATAAGTTTTCCTTCATTTCAACGTATTGTGTTAAATACACCAAAGCCTTCTTCGCTAAGTTCTTTGAATTTTCTTTTGAAGCTTGTATGTTGAAGCTTTCTGAGTGGAAGCATGTAGGTTGGGTAGTGTTCCCTTAATTTTCGAGTGAGGAAAACTTCTCGGTTGGAGACTTGGAAAATCCAAGTCACTGAGTGGGATCGGCTATATGAATCTTAGAACGCCATTGTGATCGGTCTTGTGTCATGTCCTTCGTTAGATCCAAGTACTCTAAGTCTTTTCTTAAAGTCTCTTCCAAAGTTTTCCTAGGTCTTCCTCTACCCCTTCGGCCCTGAACCTCTGTCCCATAGTCGCATCTTCTAATCGGAGCGTCAGTAGGCCTTCTTTGCACATGTCCAAACCACCGTAACCGATTTTCTCTCATCTTTCCTTCAATTTTGGCTAC